GTGAGGAAGAGAAAGAAAGATTAGGGGAAATTATCTCACATGACTTGGATGCATAAATTCACATCTATACAAACCAGGAGAAGGGGGTGAGGGGGAGTGGCTACCACTTTTTGAACCTCACTCTCATATGAACTGGTCCAATGAAGGAAAAATAAACATACATACACACACACACACACACACACACACACACAAAACTGGGAACAGAAATATATTTTACTCAAACAAGGAAACAGGAGGGAAGGAGGACTCAGAGCCAGGGTAGACTAAGGGAGGGATTAGCTCTAAGCAGAACAAACTATAAAAATATTTACAGTTCTTTGAGCTGGCAAAGAATGCAATCTGAGGGGGTGCCCATCGATCAGGGAACGGCTGAACGTGTTATATAGTATATAAATGTGATGCAATACTATCATGTTGATCGTTTATCAGCCTAACGACTAACCAGGATTCCAGAGGACTAATAATGAAATGTGCCACTCAACTCCTGATAAAGGACTCAGAATGAGAAAAATATATTTTCTTGGACACGGTCAATATAGAAATTTGTTTTTATTGACTATATATGTTTGTAATGGATTTTATTTTTGTGTTCTCATTCTCAGTTGGGGGCAGGGGAAGGGCTTGATAATAGGGTGAGAAGGTAGATTTTGGCTAATTAAACCACTAGAATTTTTTTTTAAAGAATCTGAGCCAGAACTTAAACCCAGGTCACCCTTACTCTAAGGCTAGCCTTATGTTTCTTGAGGGTGAGGGCTGTATTTGTTAGTCGGTTTTATCATAGCTCACCATGTGAAGAAATCACCCAAGGCATACCATTGTAAAGCAAGATGACCCTTTAATAATAAAGTGATTACCCTCTCATGTATCTTTTTAAAATCTTGATTTTTGTACATCGGACTTCATTAAAGATACATCTATATGGAAGCAGAGAGAAGCTGAGCAGGGTCACACAGTAATTAAATATCTGAGTCACAATTCAAATTCAGGTCTTACTCCAAGTCCGGCACTCTAGTCACTATACCCCACTGCCTCCTTTTTGTATGTCCTACTATAATTACATTAAAATTATTTACTTCTACATGCCCACCCACTCCAGAGTGGTAGACTGAATAGATTTTCAGACTTTTTTCAACTCACTGATCAATTTTGCTGAACTTTTTTTCTTAAAATATATTATTTTTTATATGGGATGGTTCTCTGGAAAGAGGTTGGGGAGGGATACTGGGAGACATTTTGTTGACGTAAAAAAGACAGCAATAAAATTATTTTTTAAAAATTGCCAATTTCTGAAACTAGGCAGACTATAAATATGACAATGACATCTAGTCCGTCTCTAAGTCTCCAGATAGGATTAAACTGAAACTATTCCAAACAAATTATTTTCTCTTCTATATCCTTAAAAACGTTCTACAAGAGATCCATTCTACAATTCTGAAAAACTGTACTAAAAATGGCTCTTTATAGGTAACAGCGGGTCACTACAATAATCACAGTGATTGAGATATAACTACAATTTTGGAATACCTAACTAACATCCATCAGACAGGAACACCTGGTGATTGACACTCTCACTCATTTCAAGTATCCAACATCTTTTGTACAAGAAATCTAGTGACTGAAATTTTTGCTCATTTCATGCATCCAAGGACCACAGTACAGCAACACCTGATAATTCACACCCTCAATTATTTCAAGTTTCCAACAGCCATAGCACAGGAACAACTGGTAACTGACA